GAATTAGATGGAGTCGATTCATCGAACGGTTTCATTTTAGATTCTCTTCGATTATTCATTTATCTTACCTACCAAAATATATGTTCAAGGTTCGGACTGAGAAAATTACAGTATGGGGAATGAATTTAGGTGTGATATGCGTTCGGAGTTGTTCTGTGCCATTTTAAATTTGTTCGACCATTCAGCTTGTTAGGTGCTATTTCCTTGTCTACACCTTATCTGTTTATGTTGTGGTTGAGTGGATGAAATTTGAATGAGGACGAAAAGTTAACGCTTCATTCGTTTCCATCATTTTGAAGAGTTGTTCCGTGATTAATTGATAATTATCGTCACCTCTGGTCTGACAATCGTTACAATATCAAATTTAGATGTATTTGTATTGGCTGCAACGAATAGAATTGACTTGATTGATGAGGCACTGCTGAGACCTGGTCGCTTTGACTACCTGATCGAATGCAAATTACCAGATATGGTTCGTTATTGTAATTGTTTGAGTTACTAATGCTTTTGTGAGTATTGTGACTGGTATTGTTATTGATATAATATGATTGTTTTGATTATTGATGTTTAAGGAAGAGCGTTTATCAATATTGCAAGTGTTGTGTCGGGATGTTAAACTCGATTCAACTATCAATCTGCGAAATATTGCCGAAGCAACTTCTGATTACAGTGGTGCAGATCTGAAGGGATTAGTCACAAATGCGCAGTTTAATGCCATGCGACATTCCGTTAAATGTTACAAGCAAAGTAATATATTTTATAATTTTATTAACATTTGAATGCAACGCAATTCTTATTAAATTTCAAGTTTATTTATTACCTCATTCAGATGTTGATAGATCACTATGAGTGATCACTTGGAATATTACATTTTCCCAGCGCTACGATCATTGTTAAACCATTCTATGAGAAGTACACATTTACACATGTAAGCTTGTAAACATGCATAGATGTGTAGTAGCTCACGACGTGTGGGTCTCACTATGGGTTTATTATAGTGAATAGTTGCAGAATAACATTATATTACTTGTAATTGACCATACGAACAGTGCTGCCAATCGATTTAAATGAAATTTGGTGTTCTGTTTGAGTGACAGTAAATTACTTTTAGGTGCGTCGAATGAAGATGAAACAGTGCCTAATGATGAAGATTATTTTATTCGATGGGAAGATATGGAATCGGCTTTAATTGAGTCATCGAAAAAGATTCAGAAACGGAAGCGAAAAAATTCACTTAAATCCAAACGTGAAACTGGGCAACGTGTTACATTGGCCTGATGAATGGCCTAGGCAGGAAATTAAAATTGCACGGATAGATCGTTGCGGTTATCCGAATCCGGTAGACTCTAATGGGTTGATGGAGTATCTGATTTGGAATAAAGATTCTTTGCTCTGTTCAGATAATAGAACTGGGTTCATGATCAGAATTTACTTTCGTTTCTAATACTATTGAAGTTGTGATAAGCCTTGTTGAAGTGATACACCGAGTTATGTAGTTATCGGTATTCAATAAATTTTATGTAAATAATCATTTCATTGAAGTGTTCATCAAGTGCATTTTACAGATTTTGTTCATTATTAAATGAAAATAAAGTTGTTTGTAGTTATTTCGTTTGATTTGGTGGCTTAAAATGAGTTATTTCCTCTACTCCAATCTATTTTCTTCCATTTTCCAAACATCAAGGTTTTTTGATTGATAACCAATTCACAAACCAAAGCTCGATCGTAACTATTGTAATTCAATCGTGACATTGACTTGAGTTACCTTTTTTTCTAAATTGTCCGACGGAGTTGTTGAACGACTAAATTCCTCTGATTTTGTCGTGAAGCTTTCGACTTTTTCGAGAAGAATGCTGACAGCTAGATCGCCTTCGATATCGGTTATGGATTAAAGACGATGAAGAAAGTTGAGATATGAGATCATGTGTTATCTATTACTGTCCATAAGAGTAATATTATGCAATGTATGTGAAAACAAGATGAATTCAGTAGAAAAGCAACATGGTCTTGTTTAGTGTCAACCTCAATGATAACATTTTCTGAGGATATGGTCAGCAGTGAGCTGACCAAACATGGTGACATACGCTCGACACGACGATATTCCCTCATTCGTTACTTCTCTAAATCTCGTTTACATTCACATTAATCATTCGTTTTTGATCCTCTGTCCCATCCACATTCAATCGACCATTCCAGTCCTTACGAATCCTCAAAACATCTTTATCTCATTTCCAGAAAACGATTCGTATCCACGATTCCTCTAGCATTACATTGTTGATCACTAATCAAATTTATTTTCAAGGTTATTTTGCATAAAAGTGAACGAACGAACAATCGAGCAAAATGACATCGCAGATGGAGAATTTCATCGATTTACAGCCTGATGCGAGCCTATTGGACGCGAACTTCGATGGTTATAAACTGTCATTGGACAAGTTTCCAACGATGAACATAGAGCTACCTTCTGAAGGCGGGTTCTTTAGCAGTTCTCGGGGATAGCCCTAATAGGAATGCTATTGAAATAGCAGTGCTAAAACTAATCTCAAAATCAATAACGATCATAACAATAACGCTGGATGATAACAACCTCATAATGTATACTTCCATATACGAGAGCAGTGAGCTCAATAGTAATGAATTGAGCACAGCATATGATAGTAAACAACAGTGTTGTGAATGATCCAACTCACTGATAGCGTTTATTTATCAGCAATTACAATAATCCGCTACGAGTTCAAGTCTCTCTGTTATCACAAATATCACATTCTTCTCTTCGTTCTTTAACATTCTTCTCTCATTTCCTTAACGATAGCTGGGAATCGCATTGGGAATCGCCTGTCTTCATATAATTCTAAATTCATTTACCAGTTTCGCGATCAGAAAGGTTTTAGGCTACCCTCTCCCATACAGCCCAGTGATTTTAGGGACAGGATCTGAGGGCGATAACGGTGAAAATGGTTATAAGAATGTTGTAAACAGGTTGCAAATTTTCAGTTCGTATATTGCAAACAAGTAATTCGCAGTATGGCTTGGAACATGTGAAATTGTTTAGCGATATAAATTATCTCGTAGTTGATAGATTCAGCAGCGATGATGTGAAACGTTTTTATGTGATTGCTGATGATTT